CAAGTTATTTGTTGTTCCTAAAATCTGGATTGGCGACAAGACTTGTCAGGTTGTAAATTTTTCTTTTTTCAATTTTTTTGTTTTTTTATCAAAGCCTTAGAGGAAGATTGGAAAGAGAGAAAGACAGACAGTGTAAATTACAAGATAGTGTGAACATCACACACTGATGCCCCACAGCTGCTGTTTATCTCCAGTTTTTCCCTCTACATTCACTCAGCAGCCCAGAACAAGAGGAAGCACATCCTCTTCCCAGAGTCTTTACCTCAGGTTCACCACAGCTCTGCAGGAGCTGAGCAGGATATTTATAAATGACATGATCTCCTTTCCTTTTCTACAGAAAGTCCCAATGAAACTCTCAGTCTCTGTGGAGTTTGAGCAGTTTGTTCTCAGCACATAATATGGACAGAGGCACTCTCATATCTGGATCAATGAACACACTGTCTTGCACTTTCTCAAGGCTTCATAAAAAAAGTTAAAGGAAAATGCTGGATCTTTTTGAATTGTTTGCTCATTATTGGAGGTTTTCTGTATAAGCACATTGGACAGCGGGAGGTATGGGTTGCTAAGCTAGCTGTTAAGACTTGGATCAAATGTGACTCTTCTCAGCGTGTGTGCACACGGCCTGCATTAAGGCATAATAGCCAGCAACTTCAGTCCGGATTATAAGATTCCCTCTGAGGACAGAACAAAAACTCCAATTCAAGCATGTACTTAGGGTTGCCAGGTCTAAGAAGCAAAACTACTCCAATGTCCAGATGAAAATAGCTCAAAACTAGTCTGTGCAGTTACTCTATTATAAATACCCAAATGTAAAATATGTTAGTTCTTTGTCTAAAATACATAGAGTACACTATTGTCTATGTCAGTGGTCACCAAACTTGTTCCTGGAGGGCTGGTGTCCTGCAGATTTTAGCTCCAACCCTAATCAAACACACCTGAACAAGCTAATCAAGCTCTTACTAGGTATACTTGAAGCATTCAGGCAGGTGTGTTGAGGCAAGTTGGAGCTAAACCCTGCAGGGACACCGGCCCTCCAGGACCGAGATTGGTGACCCCTGGTCTATGTGTTTACATATTTTTTGCACAATTTGAATGTTTTCTTATTATAAGACAATTCTTTAAACAGAGGAGATAATAAGAGCTCAAATGATCCAGTATAGAAAACACCTTGTATAGTTGTATCATTGGTAAAAAATAGAATATGTAAAATAGGTCAATTCAAGTCAACCACCAGCAAAATAAAAAATAGCCTGTTTTCACAGGAAAAGCATGGACTTGGCCTTTTATGCCTGACATTTCTACTTCTGTTTAATAATATATGCATTTCCAACCATTTTAAAATATTATTTCAGAAATATAACTACTTGCCAGACATTTTTGTTGTGCTTTGTGCTATTGTATTAACATGCTGTAGGTTAGGTACGCTGATTAATAATGAATACTTCCTGTTGATGTGGAACATACCGAAACATGTCTCAAGCAATCAGCACCAGCATTTTGAACTTATTAATTTTCATAAACAAAATTTTACAATGGTTTGCTGCTTTTTTTTAATTCATGATGCACGGCACCAACATACACTTGTGTAACATTTGGCCTACATACATACTTATATTCATTTTTCTGTCAACAAATCAACACCCACTCTCTGCAAGAGCTCAGCTGTGCATATGGAGAACAGTTATGATAATGTGTCTACACCTGTGACTTTATAGTCGTTCCCACGCAGGTCCGATTAGTCACTAAAACACTCCTGTCCAGTGTAATTCTGCACATTTTACATGTGCAATATTCGCTTACACCTGTAAGCTTCCTACCTGCCTCTCGACCTGCTGACATCTACACATGAAAACCAACCCACATACACCAAATATGAGAACGGACCTTCACACAACCTCCCATTAAACACACTCTGTGAGCACAAAGCACAATGCTGTTTGCCTGGCTCTGTGTCTTGAATGTGGAGTAAATATATCTGATGAGCCCATTCTATTTGCTGGTAATTCGGATGCCTGCTGGCATTTCTATCAGACTGAATTCTGTCCCAGGCTGAAAGAAATGTTAAAACAGAGGCATGAGGGCACATCTGTTGACCCTACACCCTTACAGACACAATGCTCTTTAACTTTTCCTCTAGCTTTTTTTTTTTTTGCAGATTTCATACCTTTAGGTTAATCCAAGAAAGGAGTGGTTGAATAATTAAATTTAGTTTTTACTATTATTACTATTGTTATTATTAATTACAGATTATTATTTACTGAAGTATTTATTTATTTTTTTGGTCAAAACTGTTTACTTTGCTAATCAGCACATAAATGCTCAGATAAGAATATTTAGCCCACTAATGCTAAGCAATTTTTTATACTACTTGGGAGATATTTCCTGTGTGAGAAATTTTCTCAGCCATTTAAAAAAATGCATAACATTTAATGCTTTTATTGAATTTATTTGAATAATATTTTTTAGCTATAGTTCCTTACTTATCAGATATTAGCATCCGCAGTGATTTATTATCTAACGCATTGCGCTTATGTGTGACAGAAAGTGACGTAATGCCAGCTGTTTTATAGCCCTGCAGTGAGAGATGTGTCCTGTCCTGTTCATGACAGTCTGGGTGTGTGACCGTTTCAGTCCCGAGAGTCTGAGAGGAAATCCTGCTGCACAGCTGTGTGGTCCAATGCTAGTCTTTATGTGCTCTCACACTCACTGTCTCTCACTGTCTGACACTGAGTGCTGTTCTGCTCACTCAGCACACACACACACACACACACACATACACTTCAAGGTCATTTAGTGTAACACGGTATCCATCAGTCCAGCCTCCACTCAACATTTTAACCTTCTCTATCAGAGCAAAACACACACACACATACACAGACACCACTTCTCACACAGTCAGCATCTGCATCATGCATATCTGCAACTGCAACACACATCTCTGCATGAACACTGGATTCTTAAACACTGGAACTACTAAATGTTCACGTCACTGATTTAAGATAATCATAACCTAAATGACTGAATAAATATCTAGTGATCAAAATATCTAAATAATAATGATGATCATAATAATATAATTGGAACATGATATATTTATAAACAGTAAGTAAAAAATTATTGAACGTGTCATCATTTTTCTCAGTAAACATATTTTTTTAAAGGTGCATTTGATTTGGATTTTTCACTGGATGTCTGTAAAAACTAAACTAATTCATAGATATAAAGATTTAGAAACGAAGTTATGTGTAATAAAATGAGATGACACAGGGAAATAGTACTGAACACATAAAGGAAGGTGTATAAGACAGCAACTGAAAGCTTTCAGTATTTAGAAAGCATCCCTGCCTCTTGTCAGTGTAAATGGATATTGTCTGGTTCAAACACAACATCTGCATTACCAGAATGCTGAAGATGAAAACCAGGGTGGACAATTCAAGAAGATAATGATTCCAAACACAGCCAAGGGAACTCTCAACTAGTTTAAGAAAAGAAAATAAAGCTGCTAGAATGGCCCAGGCAATCACCTGAACTTAGCCCAATCGAAAACAGTAACAGATCAGAGTTTATTAAAGATACCCACAGAACAGTCAAGATTTTTAGACTATGTTGACGTCTGGGAACAAATCACACCTAAACATTGCATGAATTTTTTTACAAGTGGCATCTTAAAGGATTACCCAAAAAAAGAAATAGGTATTGCTGGAGTAATTAAATTTTATTATTATTATTATTATTATTATTATTATTATTATTATTTTGTTTAAGATTTATTTTGGACCTTTTTGCCTCTTTGTTTCAGATAGAACAGTAGTGAGACAGGAAGTGAAGTGGGAGAGAGAGAGGGGGGTTGTAGGGTTGGGAAATGTCCTCAAGCCAGGATTTGAACTCGGGACGCTGCACCTGATGTGTTGTTGCACCATATGTCGGCGCGCTAACCACTAGGCTATTCTTGACTAATTTTCATTTTAATAACATTTTTGTTGAATTATATTATTCCACAAAAGTATTAAGTAGCATATTACGATACATTTTATCAGCATTTTAGAATAATTTATGAACTATCTAGTGAAATGTTCACACACACGTGTATATGGAGAAATAATAACAACCATAAATAGACTAAATAATACTTAGATATAAAAGTCTTGTTAATCTGTGCAACATTTGAGTTAGGCCTAGCTATGATTCCAGCTTTACAGACTGTGACAACAATCTTTTACGTGTGTACTGAATAATCACCGATTTCATAAAGTCATAAAGGTTTTTCTGCATCTCTTAATGAATTAAGTTCATTTAACCAGCAGCTCATGACAAGATTTCATTAGAGACAGCACAAATCAAACCTAAACAAACATGTTGACAAACATACAAACAACCCACAATAAAGACTAAACTACTTCAGCCTGATCCACATTCATACAGTACTTCATACCAGCTAATTTGAGCTACTTTTTGACCCTCATTGTGTTTTCAATGTCAAAAAGTGGTCCACTTGACTCAAATTCACCCCATATCTCTGGCCTCCCTATTTTCACCTTCTCCCTTTCCTCCTTATAATCAGTCAAGCATATACGTTTGTGACATACACAGTCTCTCCTCAGAAAAAAAGTACAGCTCAGGCTTTATGCAGGACAGCACTGGATTAAGAGCTTCACTTTGTAATCAGTCTGCTAAAGCTAAACGCACACACAGACACTCACACACACACAAACATGCCTCACCCAGCCAAGACCCACTGCCCTACTGCGGGACGGCCACTCGCATATTAAACACACACAGACATCCAATCAAACAAATACACATAGAAGTTTGTATCCTGCACTTATATAGTAAGATGCCCCTGCATGAACACCTAGACACACACACATGCAAACACACACACTCCACCTGTCCGACACTGCAGCACACATTACAGTCACAGATTCAGCAGAACATCCCACTGCAGTGAAGCCCGAACCCAGCAGCCCCTCCCAGCCTCACGTGCTCCAGCACACGCTTACCTTTGTGACAGTCATGCAGAGAACAGTGCAGAAGAGTCAGTCTCTGATCCTGAAATGCTGACAGAAACAGCAGGACAGACACACAGAGAGAAGGAGCCACTGAGCATGTGCTGCCTGAAGCTTCTACGACAGCAGAATGAGCTTGTGAAACAGAGAGAGAGAGAGAGGGAGGGTCTGGTCGCTGTCTCTCTTTAAGTATCTGAGCCTATCAGTGGCGCAGCAGCCGTGGTCCTGTATAGTCTGGATACTGCAGTGAAGTAAGCTCTGCACGCTGCTGCTACTACTGCTCTATCTCTCTCTCTCTCTCTCTCTCTCTCTTTCTCTCTCTCTCTCAGTCTGTCAATCTGATTACTGCAAGCGCTAATGAAGCTTACTGAATGTCCACAACATCACTCTGTTTATACGTCATACTCTCACTCTCTGTTCACAACATATGACCAAACTCAAACCATTCACTGCTGTACACTCTTAAAAGTCTATTTTCTGCACTGTAAAAAATGATATGACAAAAAGTCATGACAAATGTTTTTGTTACTTTAACTTAATTTAAAACAAGTAAATGTTTATTTTAATATTTTTGTCTGTTTTACTAATTTAAGTTGAGACAACTAGAAAATTTCATTTGATTTAACTAAAAAATTTAAAGCGGCATGATTCTTTTACACTGTGTTCACTCTTAAGTGTTCTTTATTGGAATTGTTGGTTCCACAAAGAGCCTATAACATCCGTGGAACATTTTCATTCCACAAAATCTTTTTTCTTCTGGCAAACATCGGCTTTAAAAGCTTTACACTATGAAAAATGTAGATTTTTGACAAACTTGTTATTGCTTATAAAGATTATTATCTTAACATCACTCTCTTTACACCTACACTCACTTGCTGTTTATAACATATGATCAAACTCCTGCTCCCTTTGTAGTGTTTTTTTTTTTTTTTATTATTTACCACAAAATAACCCTCGGTATAATCTTTAATTGAAACTTTGACATCCATGGAATATTTTCTGTCCACAAATGGTTCTTTGTAGTGGAAAAAGTTTTACTTTGTTTAAATGTTCTTCAAAACGTGAAGAAAATGCTTCTGAAATTAACCAAGAAAGTTATTATTTCGGGGTGACATGGGGGCTCAGTGTTTAGCACTGTCGTCTAGCAGCAAGAAGGTGGCTGGTTCGAGTCCCTTCTGGATCAGTTGGCATTTCTGTGTGGAGTTTGCATGTTCTCCCTGTGTTCACGTGGGTTCACAGTCTAAAAAAATGCGCTAAAGGTGAATTGAATAAACTAAATTGGCCATAGTGTATGTGTCTGTTGGATGTGTATAAAACATCCAGTGGGTATGGATCTTTCCCAGTACTGGGTTGCAGGTGGAAGGGCATCTACTGTGTAAAACAAATGCTGGATAAGTAGGCGGTTCATTCCGCTGTAGCAACCCTTGATGACATAAAGGAACTAAGTCAAAGAAAAATTCATGAATGAATGAATTATTTTTTGTGCCCATGTCTATGAAAATTCCATTTTGCTTTTCCAGTCAGCTTTGTTTAAAAGGTTTTAAAATAACTTCTCTGCTGTAATCAAAACTCAGAAAGTGAGCAAAGACTGAAAGCTTTAAAACTGGTTAAAGAGGACCAGAATTATCAAAGAGAGACTACTGTTGTGTGTAATAGAAATAAAGCTCAGTGTGTTTTTGGAATATTTAGTAGGCCTACTATTAAAGCTAAGAGTGAGAGAGAATATAACACATTATTAAATGCAAACATTTTATCAAACTTCTTATTTTTTGTGAAAAATGTAAAGAAGTAGAAAAACAAACATTTTAGGGTGCTTTGATTTTTGCAAAAGCTTCATGACTGAGAAAGCATGGTTGAGGGGGATTTTTATGTTTTACTGCCCTCTTGTGGGCCACAGCAATATTACATTACTCTTTACAGAGGTTAAACAACAATAGATTGAGTAGTTTATGAATATTTCACTCAGAAAAAGTCATTATTCTCTGAATGTCTTATTTATTTCTGTGAACAGCAAAAGGAGATATTTGGGTGGAAAGTGCAGTTAAAGAGAATTGTGACTGCACAGCAAATTGATCAGAGTTAAATTCTCGGTGTTGAAGCATTTCAGAGTAAAGTGTTGACGTTAAAGAGTTAGATTTTGATAAATGAATATAATAAGAGTTAGAATTGATTTTATTCAGTGCGAAATCAGGGAGTTATCTTTTCTACACTTGGTGGTGTTATTTCCAACATCCGGGAATTCATGCAGCCCCAGTCACTGAAGAATTTTCCGGACGCCATTTTCCATCTGAGGTTTAGAACAGCAACTGGTGAGTCAAACTACCTAAATGTTGGTATTTTACTGGCTTTCTTTAAGGAAATACAGTTGTAAACATATTGTTAAGTTAATAACTTTAGAATGGAGTGACAATTTTAAACTTCTGCGGTTCATTCATGGTCGTTTGTGTATCTAACGTTAGCTTAACTGCATTACTATTCACTTCTTTTCAAGAATGTTTTTATATATGCTCACGCATACATAGTGCATAAAAACATCAAATGTACATGTTCAACACATTTCTGTCACGCTTAATGCCATTTTGTGCGTTGTTACCCATCTGTAAAATAAAATCGACACTTCTCCTTTAATTCGAAGCAAACTAGCGAGGGAATCCCCGAAGCAGCCTAGCCTACTCTGCCCAGATGCTAACAGCAACACAGGACGGTTTCCATAAGCTCTGGAGAGTTTCTAAAACATATCTGGTGAGTAAATGAACATATGCTTACTTGTAAAAGGCTTATTCCTGACTAAAACATATGATTGTTTGTTATTCGTGTATGTTAATTTGGTTATTTTAAACACCGCGGCCCCTTTAAACTGGTTCATTCGTGGCCGTCCATATACCGTTAGTTCATAGACTCGCGTGATAACGTACGCTTGAATTATATTAAGTGTTGACAACCATTAAAGTCGGAATGTTAACATTAATGTCTTTAAATGACCGCGTTTGCACTTTCTCAGACATTTAACGTTACAGAAGTCTCCCGGAAGTTGCAGGACTAACGTTAACGTTATCCCGCAAATGCACAGAGACTCCCAGATGCCCAAGTAGATGCCCGCAAATGAATGATAATCTCTCGGAAATCGCGCGTCTCCCGCCCGGTCATTAAACACTTTGCACACCCCTCTCCAGCATCCCTCCCAGCTCTTCAGGTACGTCGCGCGTCACCCCCACCGCTCTTCAGGTACGTCGCGCGCAACTCATCCCATTGCTCTTTTGGTACTCATCTCTCCCGCTAACGTTACCTCCCGCAAATCAACTCTGTATCCCCCGAAAATGACTTTTCCCAACTCGGGATGTCTGACGTTAGTTAGTTAGGCTATTTATGTAGCCAGGAACATCTTAGTCAAGCTTTTTCTCCCGCATGATATTGTGCTTAAAACTATAGGCTAAACTTAGCATGTACTGTACACAACATTTTCGTTTTATGAAAGACAATTTAGTGCGTTGTAAACAGCCACCTGTCTGTAAAGTTAATCAACTGATTCATATTTGAGCAGCCTAATGATGATACAGGTTTGATTTGTAGATTTATTATCAATAATCAACATCTGAATCAAAAGATATCTGAAAAAGTGTGAGGCATACTTTGTGATGTTCATCTCTCCTTTTTATCTGAAGGTTATGCATATGTGTTAGATACTAATTTTTTGTTGTTTTTTAACAGCCACAGTTCTCTGTACAATAACACAAGACCCTGTGACGGTGGCTGATTAGAGACGGATGGTGTATTTCCAGAGTTGGTGAAATTACCAAGCACACCTTCTTGGTCATATGTGGTAATAATAATGAAGGTATGTTTGATAAAGTTCTGTATTTGTTTCACAAGCTGAGAGGGTATTAGAGCATTAAAGAATAACAAATGACATGAAGGTTATACGTTTTGTATTGTGGGTGAACTGTTACTTAAATAATTTTTTGCTCTTTGCTTTGCACTTTTCCTCTTCTGCTTATCCTAATATTTTAGATTATATTTGGACCTGAAACATCTGCTAGACTCCAGTAAAGGTGGCGTCAATACTGGACCTGAAAGGGCCTAACAAGTTGAATCTGGTAAAGAAATACGCACACACACACACACACACACACACACGCACACGCTTACAGAAAACTGTAAGTTTATGAATATTTTTACACTGTGGCTAATATTTTAGGGAAGTCAGCATCACTAAATGATATAAAAGATTTTAAGCTCCTCTAAATTTTGCTCCAAGTGTTGTGTTAAATTGAGGATTCTGGACAGACAGCTGCCTGTTTTTCCAGTTCTAGTCATAGTGGTTAACCTAATTGTTTTTGGAGATCCAACAGTGATGTATGTGTTTTTTCTACTTTTCCATATCCTGTCACCTCAACCAGCTGGGAGAGTCAAGTTGTGGATCATCATGAAGATTTTCAAAAGGTGAGTTTAGATTTCTTGAATGTTTTATTTACTTTAAATGTTCTTTTAAATATATCATAGAATTTGATTGCTATTTGTTTTCAAACATTTTTCTTAGTCATGCTGGAGTCTTGAAGAGTTCTTAGATGAGCATCACCCTACAGTATATCCGTGCATCAGGAACCACCAGACGAGCGATCAGCAGCTACTACTGTACATCGTCATGGATAAAAAGGTCATCCTGTGGCTGGGAAGCACATCTTTCACAGGACATGCTTGATGAGATTTCCTAGCTCCAGTTTGTTTTCACACAAGTTTACAGCATTTATACCTTCATTTAAACTACTGTGTGTTGATATGGAGGACCAAGGAAACACCAGAAGTGAAAGATTTGCACGCCAAGTTGTTTAAAATGTAATTTCTGAAGAAAACTATGAGTGACGATATATTGAACATTTAAATTGCTCAGATGAAACATCAAATTTGGACCAAGGGACTGAAAGCCTTTTTGAGCACTGGTCATACATATTTTGTTGATACTGTCTGTACTAATAAAAGATTTAAAGCATATTTGACATTGTTGCATTTTAAAAACTGAATGAATTGTTGAAGTGGTGAATATTTTCAAATAAAAAGTTTTTTTCTTTTGTAATTTACAGTCTATTTGACCTTTTTACCATATTTACACTCAAGAGAGTTGAATAAAATAACAATATATTACACCAGGCAGTGTTAAATATAGTTACATTTTTTAACTCTGCCCAGAGTTAAAATTAACCCTTACTTCGTTGTCAATGTGCCAACCCTTTTGAAAGTGTTGATTTAACTCTGTTTT